ATCGCGCGCTCCCAATCCAGTCGCGCTTGGCTTTTGACGCCAGCAAGCAGACTCCACTTGCGCTTTGCCCAGACGCGCGCATCCCCACCACCGCTATACAGCGCTGCCGAATCCACCCCATCGCTCCCCTTCCCGTGCGCGCGACCCCCCCCCCCCCCCCCCCCCCCCTCCCCCCCCCACCACCACCCCCCCCCCCACCACCACCCACCACCACACCACCACCACCACCACCACCACCACCTCCCTCACCCGCCCCCATCTGCATCTCTCTCTATCAATCTCTCTCTCTCTCTCTCTCTCTCTCTCCTTTCTCGCTGGATCGCTCTATCTCTCTCTCTCTCGCGCGCTTTCTCTCTCTCTCTCTCTCTCTCTCTCTCTCCCTCTATCTCTATCTCTATATCTCTCTCTCTCTCTCTCTCTCCTCTCTCCTCTCTCTCTCCCTCTCTCCCTCTCTCTCCCTCCCTCGACCCTTCTCACTCTCGTCCACCACCGCCCTTCCCCGCCGCCGCCACCGTCACCGTCCTTCCCCGCCACAACCGCCCTTCCTCGAACCGCCGCCAGAGCGATGTTAACTCGCAAACCCAATGGCGAAACCCCAATGTAAAATTTCATTCTCAGATCAGAAGAGGCGACCATATGAATGTGGAATACACGAAACCTTGCTACGCGGAAGCGAGCGCGCGCGCGCGCGCGCTCGCTTCCGTGTAGTAAGGTTTCGTATATTCCACATTCCTATGATCGCCTCTTCTGATCTGAGAATGAAATTTTACATTGGGTTTTCGCCATTGGTTCTGGGAGTTAACATCGCTCTGGCTGGATGGAAATCAATGCACTCATGCGTTCGCCGCCGCGCGCGCGCTTGCCACGCGGGTGGGTCACCCAGGTGAGAAGGCCACCCAGGCGGGTGGTCACCCATGTGGGTGGGACACCCAGGTGGGTGGGTCACCCAGGTGGGTGGGTCACCCAAGTGGGTAGGTCAGCCAGGTGGGTGGGTCACCCAGGTGGGTGGGTCACCCAGGTGGGTGGGTCACCCACCGCGCGCGCTCGCTTCCTTGGATTAAGGTTTCGTATATTCCACATTCATATGATCGCCTCTTTTGATCTGAGAATGAAATTTTACATTGGGTTTTCGCCATTGGGTTTTGGGGTTTGCATCGCTCTGGTTGTTCAGAAATCAATACACCCGTACGTTCGCCGCCGCGCGCGCTTGCTTCCTTGTATTAAGGTTTCGTATATTCCACATTCATATGGTCGCCTCTTTTGATCTGAGAATGAAATTTTACATTGGGTTTTCGCCATTGGGTTTTCGAGTTAACATCGCCAACGCCACCAACGCCACCACCTCCACCAACGCCAACACCACCGCCACCACCACCGAGGACGACTACAAGCACCACGCACACGCACGCACCACCCACACCATCACCACCGCACAAGAACACACCACCCACACACAGTACCAACGCCACCAACAAAAACACCACCACAACCATCCCTCCCCCCCACTGCCCCCATCGCCTAACTCACTCCTTGCCCGCCTTCGCACCCACTCACTCACATACCCACCGCGGCGAGTCGTTACCACTACCACCCCACCCACGCACTTGAAGGCGCCAGCATTCTGCCACCACGCGCTCGCCCTTCATCACCATACACACCAACTCGTCCACCATTTTTTTCACCGTCGTCATCTTACGCACTTGCGCACGCGCCATCATTCTCCTCCATACAACCACCGCCCTCAAGCTCATTTGAATGGTGTTTCGCTGTAAATATTAATATAGCACGGGGGCTAAACAATGTTTCGCACATAAATGCGTGCACAAACCTGGCCCTCCCTTATCATTATACAACCTACCTGTGTATCTACTATAACACATCCACGCGCATCCTACCCAACATTAATTCGTAACACTGTATTCTCCGTGTACTACATTAGCCATGCTTCTTTGTCCGACACGCAGCGCGCACATCTCACATTACACACATGCACGTCACCACCAGCACCGCAATCGAGTATTATCAAACAGAGAGCCCACCTCAGCACTTCAAGAGCTCAACCACGGGCCCCCCCCCACAATCTATAATGTCTAGGCTCGAAGGTTGTCCCGATGCCGTCTTTTGATTTTGTGAAGTGGCGCTGGCTCCCGCTGGATGCAGGAGACCCGCGCCTCCACGTCCCCTCGCATTGGCTTGTGTTTCGAGTCCCAGGCCAAACGCCAGCTCCACCTCCAGGGGCCGACGGCAATGATAGCGAGAGCGGCCCGAGTGTTACAGTGCCTTGGTCCGCGCCGAGTACATTCACTTTGCCTAGCGACTTCGACGATATGGACGTGGAAGACAGCGACGGTTTGGAGGGCCCCGAATGAGGCCTTCTTGGGTTGGAAATAATCTGGCAGGCAAACTCGGAAATATGAAATGAGTCCGGGGGACGGAATCAAAAAAAAGGCCGGCGGGAACAAGAGGGGGGAGGAGGATCAGGGAGAGGAGAGGAAAGGGTGATGAAGAGGACGAGGAGAAGGAGGAAACATGTGCCACCCGTGCCTTACATCCTAAGAACAATGTCTCCTGGGTATCTGTGGCATCTTTGGGTGTCTAGGTTTCTTCAGGGTATCTTTGGTCTCTTTGGTCTCGCTGGGCATTCTTAGGTCTGAACAGCGTTTCCTTTCATCCACGTTTGCTTCTGGTGTCTTGACAGTATGCCCACCTGCTCCCTCCTCCTCCTCCTCCTCCTGCTCGTGCTCACCCTCCTCTTCCTCCTTCGTCGTCCTCCTGCCTCCTCCTCCTCACCGTTTTCCTCCTCCACCTGCGTTTTCGTGTTGGCGGCACTACGCTGATGAGAGCGTGTCGCACGTTCCACAAGTTACCTTTGCATTGGCAGATCCCTGTTATCAGAATCCGACTTTTAGGCTCCAGGTGTTGTTGACTGGGGTGAGCCCCAAAGGATTTTGTGCATCCGTCCTTGCAATTGTTGCACAGCTTCCTCATTCTCATGGGGACCAGTGCCGACGTCGACGCGGGGCTGGCGAGGCAGGAGACCTTCGACTTGGATGTCGAGCTGGCCGACGCATCCCTCGCTTTGGAGTGTGAGGACCAGCCTCAGCAGAGCAGCTTTCGGCGCCTGGGTAGCTCGAGGGAGCAGTTCAACGTCATCGATTCGCGCATTGAGGTGAAGCAGGAGGGTGGGGCCGAGGCACGCTCTGGGACCATGGCCAATAGCGCCCAGGTCAAGCCTGACGACTCGCAGCGTGCGATGGGCTCCGAGGAGCATGCAGCTTCTGGCGAAGGCAGCGGCAGCGTCGAGGCTGCCCCGACTACCATTGACGACTTGGTGACGGGCCAGTTCAAGCTCATGGCGCCCAAGATGATCAAGATGATATCGCACACGGCAGTTAAGCCACCAATCATCCCCTCGGATGAGTCCAGCATGGCGCAGCCAGTGCACCAAGGCGACGGCGATGCGGAGCAAGGCGAGGGTGCTGAGCCTGCGGTTGAGGGCTCCGCTCTTGATAGCACGGGGGTCAGCGAGCTGTCCTTGGAAGCCAATCTCCCGTCTGGCACGTCGATGGCGAACTTTGGGAGGATCAGGGGCACCATCAACTCTTACGCCGACAAGCTGGGCAACGACGACTGGTTCCCCAAGACCGTCCTGGGCACTCTGCACGCGCTGCACAGGAGGTTGCAGAAGCGTGGCAAGGATGAAATCATCGGCAAGGCCTCGTTCGCGATACAGAAGGCATACTACCAACTAGACAAGCGCATCGAGTCAGTGATCGAGTTGCACAAGCTTGTCAAGTATTGGGTAGACTCGCAATCCAACGGGACGATCAAGGATTTGCTTGTACCATTCTCTTACTTGCTTGGCTACCAGACTGTGAAGCTCATGCCTATGTCGGAGCAGTTGAATATCATGTTCGCTAGATCTGTGTTCCATGCGATGGTTAAGCACCAGGGCTCGATCAAGACGGCCATCGACCTTTACGACCCGACGATCCTTTTGGACATGGTCAAGATCAGGGAGTTGAAGGCAAGAGAGGTATACGAGCCACCGAGGTTGCCAGATGCTGAGGTGAAACGTGAAGCTGGCGAGGACGGTGGAGAGGCGGTACGCGCAGACTCTGGCGGAGGGGCAGCGGGGGAGCCGAAGAGGAAGAAGCATAAAAGGACCATCACTGACATTTCCAACTACATCCAGGAGGGCTTTCCACCGACGTTCTACTTCGAGCGGATGGTCGCAGATAGCTTGACGGAATGGTTCTGTCTACTTCCTGAGTCTAAGGTGAGGGAACCCAATGAGGCATATGGCACCGTCTCCGAGATTAGCGACATCATCACGTCCTACACCGCCAAGGCCGCGATGATCAAGAGCGAGTTCGACGACGACGTCTTCATGGAGGCGGGCCATTTTCGAAACAATGCGGTGGTTACGAAAGAAGGGAAGTGATACGTGAGAAGGGTGGGGGAGGAGGATGATATCAATATCTGCGTGACGCAGATGCTTTGTAAATCATCTTCTCCCCCTGCTCTTCTCACGAATTGCCATCCTTCACCCCGCGTTATGAGTTGCTGGAGCTCTAGCTTCAAGCAACCATTCGGGGTCGTGCCACCGCATTGTTTCGACCTAGGTGCTGGACAGCATTGGGGTCATTGCCCGCTGCTGCTACCCTGACGAGAAGGTGAGGCCCCTCACCGCCAACGTCAGGAAGGCCAGGAGGTTGCTTTCCGAACACATGAAGCCTGATGAGGGCCGTCCGCATACAGATCTTGCGCGAGCAGTGGCTTCATACGCTGCGCCCCAATACATGATGGAGTCAAGCCGTGCTCATGTGGCCCAGAGTATCGATGACGACGCTGCTACATCTTCCTTGAAGGCGACCTCGGCGTTCATTCGAAAAGGCGTTCGACGATATGTTCACGAACCCCATGGGTTGGAAGGATGAGCAGCTTAAGGAGCTCGACTCTGGAACAAGCTACACGAAGTGACGGAGTATTTCGCGCAGATGGGGCCGCTCTTTACTGGGACCACGTTGGCGACCTCGAAGTGGAGCTTAGGTGCGTGCCAGGAGAACTGCGAGTTCGTGGCGGACACCTTGTCGAACAGCATCACCATCCTCGACGTTGGTAACTCCATGATGCTAGCGATCTTCCAGAACACAGTTTGCAAGGACATTGCGAAGCTGGCGGCGTTGATTCTCGATACCTTAACCTCAGAGCAACTGAAGGAGAAGGAGGCTGGTGATGAGGGGGTTCCAGCTGAACGTGGCGACCAAGGAGGGAATCAAGGACCGACCGTCATGGATCAGCTCAGGACGATAGAGGAGAACATCGACAAGGCCTTGGACTGCATGCCGCGCTTTGGAAATGCTCTTAATGATCTGTGAGCGGTGCAAAAATGCATTTCATTCGCGAGTGGGGGATTCGCCTAAGTTCGGCGAGGACCATGCACAACAACCCAGTCATATTCGAGACAACAACGGAAGTCGGCACGGACGTTCTCATCAGGTTCGCAGGCTTGCAGCGTTGCATCGACGGTGAGGTGTTCGAGTTTCAATCCGACTCGTTGTTGACTGACGCATCGACGGTGAGGTGTTCGAGTTTCAATCCGACTCGTTGTTGACTGACGCATCGGTTACCGATAAGATCGTCTCCGACTTCCGTGACTTCATGTCCGTCGCTGGTTCTCTTTGGGCAGAGCTACGCATCAACTTTACCTGTCGCCGCCGATGTCTGCGCCCCACCTCCGCACGAGCATTGAGTTCTTAGAAGCTCAAGCTCAGGAGATAGGGCGTGGGCATTGGGGGCGACAGGCGAAGCGACTGATGCAGAACGCTGCCCAACCAGGTTCGCAGGTGCACGAGGTCTTCTCCGACACGTTCGTGCGCAGCAAGATGGATGAGATAGCGCCGGCTCCTGAGTTTGGTCTCGGCCAGGTGAACGATAAGGTCTTGGCAGAGGTGCTTCCAGTAGATTCGTTCGGTCGCTTGGTCCTTGGCATCACCAACATCAAGAAGCTGTTCCCAGTCGGCGTCGAGTTCAAGGACGGCGCCAAAGAGGACGAGACAGCCATGCAGGAGGCCGTTCACTACAAAGCTTTATCGGACTTGGTCGCGTTCCTGGATGCGAGCGGTACCGCCAGCATCTTTGTACCAGATGTGACCTTCGGCCCAAACGCGGTGAAGATGCCCGTCGAGCTTGCTGTGGCCCACTTGCAAATGATGGTTCAGATCAAAGACCTGGTGGCAGTTGCGGCGTTGCAGTATGACAGTCTTCTCTCCAGCAAGAAGGGGGCAGCAGTGACGTCAGATGAGTTGTTCGGCAAGGTCGTGCACGCCCAGTGCATCCTCAGCAAGAGCTTGGTGAGGATCGACAGCCTTTTGCTTTCAACGGAAATCAAGGAGCTTGAGAAGTCGAAATGGGTCGGTCCCATCTCCGTCGAGGCCACCAGGCAGTGGATCAAGTCCGTCGCAGTTTTCGCAGGGTTCTGCAAGTCGCAACTGCTCACTGATATGTCAGATCCCGTGAACGGCGCAGTTGCGGAGTGCAGGAAGGTCTTACCCGACTGGGACACGGTGATCGATCAGAAGACGGGCGCGCTCATCGAGAAGCTCGCGATCAAGCAGTTCAGCGACTTGGAGAAGGTTGTGCACTGTTACAACAACGTACACAAGCACATGCGGTGGTTCTCGCGCGCGGGCTCGTTGCTGGAGCTGTCCCCGCGCCTCCAGAACCGCGACCTCACCTCGGAAGCCGTCGCCATTGCGATGGCTTGTCTGGCCCATCGGCTTCCAAATGGCCGACGATCAATTGGGGTGGGCTGTTCGCCCACTACTCCCTGCCGCAACAAACTCTCCTCCCCCTCTGTCCTCCAATCCTCCTCCTCCTCCTTCTCCTCCTCCTCCCTCCTCCCTCTGGAGGCTCCCCTGGGCCTCTCCTGGCCCCTTCGAGGCCTCGCCTGGATGAGGATGAGGACGAGGAGCAGGAGGAGGAGGAGGAGGGGGAGGAGGAGGAGGAGGAAGAGGAGGAGGAGGTGTTTCTCCTTGCCCCCGATCTTGGAGGGAGTGGTCGGCGGACGGTCGAATCCCTTTTGAGGCGGGCTGTTTGGCGAGCCCTCCAGGGTAAGGCGAACCAGGTGACGATCATGATCAGGGGCATCAGAGCCCTGGCCACGATGCGTCGTGACCCAGATGGACCGAAGCGTGCCTCGGACTTCATCCAGCTCCACAAGCCCAAGGGCATGGACATCCCGAAAGGGTTCTGGAAGGAGCTCGAGGCCATCGCTGCGGAGACGAACGAGCCCGTCCCCGATGACAAGTCGGATCAGGCGAGCAACTACTTCGGGACGCCCAAGCCCAAGGGTCAGAATGCCAACATCCTGGCCGACTCCGCGAGCAAGGGCACGATGGTCAAGCACGAGCTCGCCCCGTCGGAAGCGGCGGGCAGCGTGTGCCCGCCACCATCGCAGCCTCGCACAGAGGCGAGGCGCGGCCTGAAGCGCACGGCGCCGTCAGACAGCTAAGTTTCTCGAGGCGACCTCGAGGCAGATAGCACTTGGGAGAGGGGAATGAGGAGGGGGAGGAGGAACGAGGAGATAAGGGGGTTGGAGGAGGGGGAGGTGTAGGAGGGCATGAAGGAGAAGGGGAGGATAGGGAGGGAGAAACGAGGATGCTCAATGATGCTAGCTGGCCGTCGGAGGTTCGCTTCGCACGTGAAGCCCAGACCGTGGGCTCTCTCTACTTTTGGCGCGAGGGGTCCCTCGCCGCACGCTGCCTCTGCCCTCTCCCCCTGACCTTCGCCTCATCGCCCCTTCTGTATTCTAATCTCGTGATGAGGGCTCGGGTTTCGAGCTGATGGGGTGCCCTGCCGTAGGGGCCCACAGAGGGCAGCAGGGCTATCGGCTCGGAGGTGGCGAGTGCGAGGATCGCGCTCACGGACGGATGAAAAAAAACAACGCTGGTTATCGATGCCATCGCCGATGCATTGGCTACATGATTCCGTAACGGCTTGCTGTGATCGTGGCCCCGTCTCGCTCCAAGAACGTAATGCCACACGACGTAGGTTATCATTAGTATAGGTGTTCACGCCGCTCGAGTGCGCCGCACTCATGCTTATCATGCCTACCGTTGCTCATGTGTGTTGCCGTGGTGCCAAGAGTATGCGTGCGCGCCTGTATGACGCATCAACGTGTTATTCCACTTACGTTGGTCGTGAACCCTACTTGAAATCCCGTCGCGTCGTCCTCCTTCCCTCCCCTCCCGTCCTCCCACGACCACCGTCCTCCCTCCTCCTACGCTCTTGTCCCAACCATATGCTATCGTTTCTGTCACGGGTGGATGCTCGACTACTTCTTTTAGACCGCCAACTGTGCCTGAAGGCCCCTAGTGTTCCCGCGTATTCTGGCCCAGAGCCCGCCCTCTACTGATCCCGATGCATTCGGCGCGTACGAATGTGCTTCATTTTTTTCCGACAAAGACGCTCTTGACCAGAAAAATCTCGAACCAAAACGCCCTTTACCGATCGAGTTGCCTCAGGGTTTGAAAAACCGTTCGTCTTGCCTAATCGTTTGCTTGCAAGAGTGTCGCCGTCGTTCGTCTTGACGCCGCCCCCCCCTCATCAGACCAGACCCCCCGCATGCTCTCAAACTCTACCCGTCTGTTGCCAATATTCGTAGTTCCGCCGTGCCATCTTGGCCATCTTGGCAATTCGCACCGTTCCGACCCCCGCCATCTTGGGCCGTCTTCGCTGTTCTCACCGCTATGAACGCTCCTGGAGGAACACGCGCGTTTCCGGAGTTCCCGCGCACTTCGTTTTCAAAGCGTCCAAGACGGCCACACAGACCTTCAGGATCGTCCCAAGACGCTTCAGGAGGCTGCCAGGAGGGCCCCACGACGGCGCAACACTGCGCCAGGACGGCTCCTCCGGCGCCACTGGCGGCCCCAAGAGGGGCCCAGGACAGGGTGGGAACGCCCCCGAGGGGCTCCAAGAGTGGACCAGGAGGGCCCCAAGAGGCCCCGAGAAGGCCCCATGACGCATGTACTTGGGTGCCCCTTTCGCAAGCCCAAGAAGCATATCAAGTACATGCGGTTTGGGGCCCTCTTGGGGCCCCCTGGGGGCGCTCTTGCGGCCCTCTTGAGGCCCTCGGGCCCCTCCAAGGCAGGGCCGGGTGCATTCTGCCACTCTCGTGGCAAAACGTTGGGCCCGCGGCCGGCGGCGTCCTGGGGCATGTGGTTGTCGCCTGCAGACCCACCCATGGTTCGGCAACCCCCGCCGCCAGTGGCAGCAAGCACGGGTACACGCTGGTCAGCTACAGCGCTGGGATCAGCGCGTGCGAGAAGAGCGGGCAATGGCAGCCGGCCCTGGCGCTACTGACCGAGATGCAGGAGACGAAGCTGGAACCCGACGTCATCAGCTACAGCGCTGGGATCAGCGCGTGCGAGAAGGGTGGGCAATGGCAGCCGGCGCTGGCGCTGCTGAGCGAGATGCGGGAGGCGAAGCTGGAGCCCAACGTCATCTATAACAGCGCAGGGCCCCGCGCGTGCGAGAAAGGTGATTCGGACCAAAATGGCGTAGCAGGCCCCTGCGAGCCCCAGCAGGCCCCGGCCCGCTCCGAGACGCTCCAAGATGGCCCAAGATCGCTCCGAGACGCCCCTGGAGGCCTTCACGAAGGCCCCAAGACGGCCCCAGACGGCCCAAGAGGGCCTCCGAAAAGGTCCAAGAGCGCTCGAAGACGTCCAAGATGGCCTCCAAGAGGCCCAAGAGAGTTCGAACAAGGAAAAATTGTCCCAATCCCGAGGGAAAACTTGCATTTTTGCCATTCCCGCACTTTGCGTCCGCAACGCGTCCACGACGGCCATACAGGCCCCCAAGATCGCCCCAAGATCGCCCCAAGAGGGCCTCCAGGGGGCCCCAGAACGGTCCCAGACGGCCCCAGGACAGCCCAAAAGGCGCCCAGGACAGCCCAAGAGGGCTCGAAGAGCGGCCCAAGACGGGCCCGAGACAGCCGTGGAGGCGCCCAAGCTCACCCTAAACAGCTTGACGCGGCCTAAGAGGCGCCCAAGACGGCCCCAAGAGGCCCAAAGGAGGCCTCCAAGTCCTTCCAAGAGACGTCCAAGAGGGCTCAGAAGCAAAATTCGACCCAATCCCGAGGAAAGACGATGAATTTTCACATGGATCGCCCCAAAACGCCCTGAGAGGGCTTCCAGGGGCCGCAGGACGGTTCAAGGCGGCCCCAGGACAGCCCAAGAGGCGCCCAGGGCAGCCCAAGAGGTTCGAAGAGCGGCGCAAGACGGGCCCTCGAGGCAGCCCCAGAGGCGACCAAGACCGCCCTACATAAACGGCCTAAGACGGCCCACGAGGCGCCCAAGACGGCCTCAAGAGGCTTCCAAGAGGCCCACAGGAGGCTTCCAAGCCCTTCCAAGAGACATCCAAGAGTGCGTCGCCCCAAACCTTGGGAAACCATGCAATTTTATCAGATTCGTTTTCCTCATATCCACAGCGCCCACGACGGCCATACAGGCCCCCAAGAGGGCCTCCAGGGGTCCCCAGAACGGTCCCGGGCGGCCCCAGGACAGCCCAAGAGGCGCCCAGGACAGCCCAAGAGGGCTAGAAGAGGACGGGCCCGAGGCAGCCCTACAGGCGCCCAAGACCGCCCTAAACGGCCTAAGACGGCCCAAGAGGCGCCCAAGACGGCCCCAAGAGGCCCCCCCCCCCCAAGAGGTCAAAGGAGGCCTCCGAGCCCCTCCAAGAGACGTCCAAGAGGGCTCCCAGAAGCAAAAGTCGCCCCAAAGCGTGGGAAAACATACAATTTGAACATGTACGCTTTCCTCGTGTCCACGGTGCCCACGGCGGCCATACAGGCCATACGAAAGCGCGGTCTCGTTGCCGCCGCCCCCGCCGCCGCCGTGCTTATAGGTTTTTGGAAAAATCTTCGCCGTTCCTCCGAGAACCATTCCGGACGGAGTCCACGGGTCAGCCCTAGTCAGCTACAACGCCGGGATCAGCACGTGCGAGAAGGGCGAACAGTGGCAGCGGGCCCTGGCGCTGCTGAGCGAGATGCGGGAGGCGAAGCTGGAGCCTAACGTCATCTCCTCTACAATACCGGGATCAGTGCGTGCGAAGCCCCCTCGAGTGGACTCGGCCTGGCCCCCGGCGCTCCTGGGGCCCTGGTCCGTCGCCGGCGCCCCCCGGAACGGTCTTGGTCCGTCGCCGGCGCTCCCCGAACGGCCCGCGCCCGCTCGTGACGGATCCACGGGAGCCCCGAGCGAGCCCCGAAACGGCCCCCCCAGGGCCCCTGAAGGGCCCGAGTGGCCCCAGAGGCTCTCTCGACGATTTCGACAAGGGCTTCAGGGGGCCAAAAACATTGATTTTCCATTTGTTTTTGATGAGTTCCTCGGTTTGAGTTTTTTCGAGCCGGAACGGCTCCAAAGGCGCCGCGGATCGTTTCAAGACCGCCCATAAGGCCCCCAAGAGGGCCCCAGAACGGCCCAAGAGCGCCCCAAGATTGCCCAAGACGGCACCAAGCCGGCCCAAGAGGGCCCTGAGAGGATCCCGAGACCAACCATGAGGCCCCCAAGAAGGCCCCAGGACTGCCCACGAGTTCCCAAGACTGCCCAAAACGGCCCAAAGCCGGCCCCAGACGACCCCCCCGAGACCCACCATGAGGCCCCCAAGAAGGCCCCAGGACGGCCCAAGAGCGCCCCAAGACTGCCCAAGACGGCCCCAAGCCGGCCCAAG